TTCTTCCTGATTCAGTTTTGGAAGATTGTATTTTTCTAAGAATTTGTCCATTTTGCCCAGGTTATCCAGCTTGTTGACATATATTTTCTTACAGTTCTTTGTATTTATGTGGTGTCAGTTGTTACTTCACCTCTTTCATTTTGATTTTATTTATTTAGGTCCTCTCTCTTTGTTTCTCGATGAGTCTGGCTAAAGGTTAATCAATCTTGTTTATCTTTTCAAAGAACCAGCTCTTGGTTTCACTGATCTTTAGTATTTTTTCTTTTCTTTTTTGTCTCCAAGTCATTTATTTCTGCTGATGTTTATTATTTCCTTCCTCTTACTTACTCTGGGCTTTTCTTGTTGTCCTCTCTTTAATTCTTTAAGTTGTAGGGTTAGAGATTTTATTAAAAAAAATGTTTCTTTTTGAGGTAGGCCTGTAATACTAAACTTCCTCTCAGGACTGTTCTGCTGTATCCTATAGATTTTGTGTTGTTGTGTGTTCATTTTCTTCCAGGAAGTTTCTGATTTCTTCCTTAATTTCATGGATAACCCACTCATTGTTTAACATGCTATTTAGTCTCCAAGTTTTTGCCTCTTTTTATTTAGTTGATTTTTAATTTCATGCCATTGTGACCCAAAAAGATGCTTGATATGATTTCAGTCTTCTTGAACTTATAGAGATTTGTTTTGTCTCCTTCTTCCTCTCCCTCTTCTTCCTCTCTTTCTTCCTCAAGGTAAGAAGACCCTTTAGCATTTCTTATAGGAGTAATAAATTTCTTTAGTGTTTTTTTTTTGTTTGTTTTGTTTTTGTTTTTGTCTGAGAAGCTCTTTATTTCACCTTTAATTTTGAATGATAGCCTTACTGGATAGAGTAGTCTTGGACTCAATCCCTTGCTTTTTATTACTTTGTATACTTCATGGCACTCTCTTCTGGCCTGAAGTATTTCTATTGAGGAATCTGCAGACATTCTAATGGGAGCTCTCTTGTAGGTAACTATCTCTCTCTTGCAGTATTTAGAATTCTTTCTTTGTCTTTTTGTTTGCTGTTTTTATTATGATGTGCCCTTATGTGGGTCTTTTGGAGTTCATCTTGATTGGACAGATTTCCATCCCTCCTCACTAATGGTAACCACTATCCTGAATTTTATGATGATCATTTCCTCACTTTATAATTTTACACCAAAACATACAGTCTAATTTTGCCTGCTTTCAACTTTATATAAATGGAATATGCGTTCTTTCACTCACCAATATGTTTGTGAGATTTTTCCCTATTTGTGTATGTAGTGTGGTTCTTCATTTTTATTACAGATGATCTTATTACTTACATACATAAACTACAATATACTTTTCCATACAACTTTTCAGGGATATTTGGGCTGTTCCTAGTTTCAGACTATTATGAATAATGCTGCTATGACTATTCTTGTGCATGCATCTTGATGTATATCCATATGATTTTCCCTAGAGTAATTGCTAAGAGTGGACTTACTGCACCATAGGCTATGCATATTTTCAGTTTCACTAAATGATGCCATTATGTTTTCAAAGCAGTTGTATAAATTTACATGCTCAACAGAGTGAATGAGAGCCCTTGTTGCTCCATATTATCATCCCATTTAATAGTTTTAGTCCTTTAAATTTTTTTACTTGTGTATTTAAACATCTGACAAATTAACAAAGAGCTTTTTGACATAACATTTACAAAGTTGGTCAGATACAAAACCAAAATTAGTAACTTTATACATATAAAGTGTGTTCGTATAAATATAAAAATGCAATAAAAGTTAACCCTATTCCAAATTAGAAAATGTGATGAAAAATATAATTTCATTCATAATTGCAGCAATCATAATAAACCATAAAATACACTGGAATAAACCTCAGAAGAATGTGTAAGACATAAAATCAAGCTAACAGTAAAACTTTATTGAAAAACAAAACTCAGTTTTATAATAGCCTTATAAGATGGCAAGATTTGTCACCAACAAAGGTGTTTCTCTCCCCTCCTCAGGACAGAAATGAAGAGGGGGGGCAAAGCAGATTCAGAAGAGAAGCGTTTACTAAAGGCAGTGGGGGAGGGGAAGGAGAAGGGAGGGAGCGCGGTGCAACAGGGCACACCCTGGCAGAGGATGGCTCCCTGGGAGGCTCCTGGGGGCGCTGTGCGTAGTGGGTCCTCTATTCTCCAGGTTCCCTTGATGGGTGGCCATTGAGGGGCGCAGGTGCAGGAGCGTTGGTGTGGGCGTGCTTGGGGGGAACCTAATGTCAGCTAGGAGAGGCTCAAGAAGTAAGGGAAGGACATTCCCATCCATCTGAGAGAGGCTTAGCCTGTCTCAGATTCATGCTTTCTCTTTATGACATGATTCACAAATTGCTAAGCAAATATTTATTCAGTGCAAGAATGTGTGCTTCTCAGGAGAAGGCTGGCCTTGGCAGTCTCCTGTTGCAGACTCTGACTTCCCTTCTTACTGATGCTTCCCACCCACTATGGGTTTAAATGTTCCTTGCTCACCAACAAAACGGACACGTGGGAGAAGTTGCTTAACCTCATTGGTGATCAAGGTGAAAATAATTGGCCTCTCCCCACTGGAATGGCTCAGTTGGTTGAGCATCATCCTGGACCCTGAAATGTTGAGGGTTCAATTCCCAGTCTGAGTACATGTCTGGATTGCAGGTATGCTTCCTGGTAGGGGCATGTGGAAGGTAACCAATCGATATTTTTCTCTTTCTCTCTCTCCCTCCCTCCCTCTCTCTCTCCTTCCCTCTCCTTTCCTCTCTCTAAGCATGCCCTCAGGTGAGGATTAAAAAAAGACCAGTCTCAATTTAAGGAAAAAACTGTGATCTATTTTCATTGGTTTCTGGCCATCTTATTTGAATAAAAAATTTAATTATAGACTTGTATTTAGAGGCCAAGAAAAAGATGAAAATAAGTTGCCCTGTATACCCTACTTAAAAAAATTTAAAGTCCATACATTATTAATATTTTTGAAGTTTTCACCCAATTTTTTTTTTTGTTTCTCGTTCAGAATGCTACATTACAATGATTTATAATATCTTCTTAGACTTTTCTTGGCTGTGACAGTTTCTTGATAGTAGACTTTTAATGTTATTGTCACTGATATAATTTTTAAAATGTCATTTTCCAATTTTTTGTTACTAATATAAAAAGAGTTGGTTAATTTTTAATATTGGTTCAGTGACCTTGGTTAGTTTATTTTTAAGTTGTAATTAGTATATCTATGGATTCTTTTGTATTTTATATGTACACAATTATATCATTTGTAGATTATTTATAAAAATATCTGATTCAATCAGCAAAAGATTTGAACTTCTGTCTTACAAATAAAATGTCCAATTGGTTAATAAGCATATGGAAATATGCTGAATTATTAGTAATCAGGGAATGAAAATTAAAACTATAATGATGTATCTCTATATACTACTAGAATGGCTAAAATTAAGAAACTGTCAATACCAGGTGTTGACAAAGGTATGACACAACTGCAGCACTTAAACACTAATAATGAGAGTGTAAATTGGTACAAACATTTGAGAAATACGTTTGATCTGATTTACTAAATATGACCCAGTTCCTTCATCCTGGGCACACGCCCAAAAGATGTATGTGCAGCCGAAACCGATTTGGCTCAGTGAATAGAGCGTCGGCCTGCGGACTGAAGGGTCCTCGAGTTCTATTTTGGTCAAGGGCATGTACCTTGGTTGCAGGCACATCCCCAGTAGGGGGAATGCAAGAGGCAGCTGATTGATGACTCTCATCGATGTTTCTAACTCTCTACTCTATCTCTCTCCCTTCCTCTCTGTAAAAAATCAATAAAATATATTTTAAAAAAAAAATAAAAGCAAAAAGATGTCTGTGTAGATGTGCACCAAGATACATATAAGGCTTTTTTTTTCTTTTTTCTTTTTTTTGGTAGCAGATTCATTATAATGACAAAAAAAACAGGAGGGAAAAAAACCCACCAGTTCATAGGTAGTGGAAAGGATGAAACATTGTGGAATATCTAAGAGGATATGAAACATTAATGAAATTTAATGAACTATAAAGGCTCTCAACAACATAGATGAATCTCACAGACATACTATGGAATGTAAGAAGCTGTTACACAAAGTTCGAATACAGGCAGACTGTTGGGTGGTAAAAGGCAGTGGTGACGTGGGAGAGGAGAAGAATGATGGGGGAGGAGAGAGGCATACTGTTCGGGGAGTTGGTAGTGTTTGTGTCCTTTGGGTTTCATAAGTTTCTATTTTATAATAATTTTTTGAGCTGTATTCTTTAGATTTGTGCATGCTTTTCAACATATGTTACATAAAATTTGTTTTCTAAAGGACAAATGAGGAGTTTAAGAATCAGAATACTCTCATAAGATAGAATTTGTTGCTCCTTCCAAGATATCTTTGAAAGACTTCTTCTGGCTTAATTTCATAGGTAGTTTTGCCAATATTCATAGAATTCCTCGGCAACTCTTCTTCTTGTCTAATTTATCATTTTTATAGGGGCCCTTTCCTTGTTAAAAAAAAAAAAAGCCATTGAAATGAAAAGAAAGCTGTAATCTTGATTCCTCGATATACAATTGTCTTGCATAGATAATCACATTTAAAAAAAGAGTAGAAGAAAACTCTGTGATCTTTAAAGCAAAGCAACTCCCAGTTCAACTGATGATTTCAAAATGCTGGGAACGTCATTCAGGTTTTACTTTCTGCATGTCATTGTGCCTCTCTGAGAAACCTCAGTAACCAGCAGAAACTGTGCTGGGGACTGAAAGTGGCTCTCCCCACCACCGAGAGCTGGCGGGGGAATGCATGCAATAACAGTCTCCGCGGAGGGCGGAGTGAAAACACGGCTTCAGACGGTGGAAAAGATGAGAGGAAACGTCCTTGCCAGGCAGGTGTGCAGCAGGCTGGCCTACAGACAGCTTTCTCTGCGAGACACAAGGCTCCATACATTTTCCTGGTTGTTGTGACAAAACGCTATTACATTAGGGGAAATGAAACAAAGGAAAAGATGGTGTCTTACAACAGAAGCAATTTTAACCCATTCGTAGGTGGACTTCTGATGTGACTATCACCAGATCCCCCGGAGAAGAGGTCAAGGAGAGACCTCATGTGGGCCTGGAAGAGAATATTAGGAAACCCCTCATGAATTATAAACATTGCACTCTGGCATTCAAGAGTCCCCACGATACATCTCCAGCTGATGGTTTTCACCCCCAATCCCCTTGACTCCTAACACTTAGTCTGCTCTCAATTTGAAGCTCCTTCTATTTGCTCTTGCAAACTCGCTCATTCCCCTGGCTCGGTTGATGCTGGCATCTCCATGGAGAGCTCTGCTGGCCGTTCTGGTGCCATTAACCCACACGTAGCCTGCAGAGTTACACTTGACTGGTCCACAGTGAGCTATACTCTGAATGGAAAAATATAGATCATCGCTGGAAGGCTTAGTATGAAAAAGAGAAACATAACTATCTCAATAATTTTATATTGATTACATGTTGAAATGACAATATTTAGATATATTATGTTAAAATATACTATTAAGCCCAGCCAGTGTGGCTCAGTGGTTGAGCGTTGATCTATGAACCAGGAAGTCATGGTTTGATTTCTGGGCAGGGCACATGACTGGGTTGTGGGCTCCATCCCCAGTGTGGGGCATGCAGGAGGCAGCCAATCAATGATTCTCGCTCATCATTGATGTTTTTATCTCCCCTTTTCTCTACCTCTCTGAAATCAATAAAAATATTAAAATAAAACTAAAGCATGCTGTTAAAATAACTCCACTTGTTTCTTTCTTACTTCTTTAATGTGGCTACCGGGAAATCTTAAATTGCCTGTATGACTCACATTGTATTGCTGTTGGGTGGCACTGGTCTAGACTGCCCTTACCAAGCCACCTCTCTCGGGTGCTCACCCGCTGCCTTAGGCACACTGCCCCAGAAGCCATTCTTCCTTCTTCCTTTGAGAGTCACCATTGCCACCTTGGCACTATCCACCTAGTTGAGGGCATTGGCCAGGGCCTACTTTGTACTCTTCCTGTGGTTGGCAGAAAAGAGCCCAGCTTGGATGGGACCCACTCCTCTTATTAGCTTTGTGAGCCTTGGGCACATTGCTAAGCCTTTCTGAGCCCCGGTCTCTTCTTCTGTGAAAAGAGAAGGTAATAACCCACCTCAAATGTTTACTATGAGAATTATCCAAAGAATGGAACATAGTAAGTGCTCATAGATTCTATATGATAACTAATACAATATGACCATGAATACTAGTACTACAAATACTTCCACTATTATTTTTACTTCATTAGATTCACATGGAGGTGTGGGCAAGGTGAGCAGGCTCTTGGTCACACCTGGAGAGGTTAGCTCTACGTGAGTTTGCAAGTCACACTGGAGGGGCAGGCCCCAAGGACCAGATTCCTTGGACCACCCCCTAGTGAGTGCAGTGGGCCACCTCCAGTCTACTGGCCTCTGTGGCTCCTTGCCTTGGCCTTCGTGCTGTGAGCTATGGCTGATTCCAGACGAATCCAAGGATTCTTTTCAAATGACTGACATAACTGGGCAGGGAAACAGCTGAGAGATGATTTTGCTTTTTCCAAAACCCACTGCAGAGAAGCCATGAGATGGCTGAGGTTCTGCTCAGAGCTGGCAGGCAAAGGTCAAAAGACAGAGTGATGGAAACCCACATAAGAGGCAGAGTAACCAGAAAGTCCGGGCTCATTGGTTCTTTTTTAGTGTCAATTAGTTTGTAATGTAGATTAATTTTTAATGTGGCTACTAGAAATTTTTAAATTGCCTGTATGACTTGGGTGTTTTTTATTTTTCTAATGACACAAGTAACATGTTCATTATAAAAATTTTTAAATGTGAAGAAAACAAAAAGTTAAAAAATTTAGTAATACTTGCCTGGCCAGTATGGCACAGTGATTGATCATCGGCCCATAAACCAGGAGGTCACAGTTTGATTCCTGGTCAATGAATATGCCAGGGTTTCAGGCTCAATTCCTGGTAGGGGGTGAGGGTTGCAGGTGGCAGCCAACTGATGTTTCTCTCTCATTGATTTTTTTTCTCTCTCTCTCTCCTTTCCCTCTCTCTGAAATAAATAAAAAATATTTTTAAAAATTTGGCAAAATTTATTAAACTCTTTCAAACAAAGAAGTACACTAAATTATAAGGGCCTAATAATCCTATCTCCCAGATATTTTCTGATCATGGGGGAAGACCCATGTACCAACAGTTCTACAGGTACACAGTGGAAAGGGAAAGAAGTTTGCTCTTTGATGCATCCTCATCTGTCAGCATTCTCCCCTAGGGCCACTACCATTAACAGAGGAGTAGGTGTACTCCTTATAAATGTGTATCAGCACACATATGTATATCTTTCTATCTATAATAATAAAAGCGTAATATGCCAATTAGACCAGACAGCTGAATGACCTTCCGGACAGCTTTCAAGACGTCCTTCTGTATGACCTCCTGGACGAAGCGGGGCCGAGCTCCTTGCATGAATTTCATGCATCAGGTCTCTAGTTAAGTTACAAAACAAATGAAAATACCATGCCCATTATTATATGTATTGTTCTTTTAATGAAAGATGTCCAGAAATAGGTCCATTTCAGCTGACTTCCTATTTAACGTCTATGTAGTATTACATTTTGGTCTGTATTATAATGTTACTTACCGTATTTTCCGGCGTATAAGACGACCCCCTAATTTCACAGTTAAAACATAGGTTTAGGCCTATATTTGCTGTATAAAACTACCCCCCACTTCCGAGGCAACACCAGTTCTTTTTTTAATAGACCACCTCTCTGACTCTGGCCAATCTGAGGAGGCTTTTTACTAGAACACAGTGTAGCTTCGGGTACAGAACATGTATAATTTGCATGCATAAAAAGCCTGCTTGGATTGGCTGAGTTAGAGAGGCAGTCCGAGCAGCCTTGCAGTGATTGGTGCAGGATCGAGTTGGAAAATTTGTTTAGTGGCATATCGAGACGTTTTTCGGGATATACTCGGCATATAAGACGACCCCCGATTTTCGGTTGACTTTTTTTTCGTTTCAAAGGTCATCTTATACGCCAGAAAATACAGTAACCAATTCCCTACCCATGGATTTGTATTTTTGCTATGACAGTACTGCAATGAACATTCATATATGTTTGTGTAACATGTATAATATACATACATACATACATATAAACATACTTCTGCAGGAATATCCATGGTAAATTTTGTAAGTAAAAGGGACAACTCCATTGCTTGAAATTTTTAATTTTGAAATTTACAATTTTGAAATACATAGCCAATTTCTATGAGGTCGCTCCTTGTGAGCTGTTTTGGGCATTCTCACAGGTTCAGTGCAGCCAGACTATTCACATGGCAGCTGATGGCTTCAAGAGTAAGAACTCCAGCTGCCAAGGCAGATGCTGCATCATCTTTCCTGAGACAGCCTCAAAGTCCCACACCATCGCTCTACCGCAGAATTCTGCCCGGTTACACAGACCCCACCTTTTGCTGGGCAGAGTCAAAGCTATGCTGAACTTGTCACAGGGGATGGGAGATACTGTTCTGCCTACATCTGAAAAAACAATCTTTGCCACGCTCCAAAAAGTTTGCATAAACTTATATTGTACTTTTATTGTGCGTGATTAGAATACCATTTCCCCACACCCTTTGCAAGTTGTATTGGTGAAAGGTGGCTACCCTGTTACTGGTTTGATTTACATTTTAGTAACATTGAACAGATTTTTATATCTTTATTGGCCCCTTCTATTTCTTTTCCTGGTATCTGGCTATAAACTTTTCTTTGGTAACTAATTATAAGAGCTCTTTGTAAGCAGAGAAAAGTATCCTTTCCTCATTGTATGTTATAACTATAATATTTTATATTGCTCTTTCTCTTTGACTTTATGTTCTTGCCATAGTGAAATTTATAGCTTGTTTATAATCATATTAATAAATATTTTCTATTACACTTCCTGGGTTTTATATCTTCCTTACTCCAATATTATTTTTTTAACCTCCAAGGTGGTTTTTATTTTGCTGATTTTGTTCATTTTACCTTAAAATCTACTCTATATAATGTTATATGGACCATACACTATTGAAAACATCCTAGTTTCCTGTAATAACTCCCTTGGTCAATATATACTTTAAAAAAATTTCTCAACTGAGGATATTTTTTTCTTGGAAGAATGGAAGGCAGGGAAGAGGGGGAGAGAGAGAGAGAAAGAGAGAGTGAGAGAGTGAGTGAGAGAGAGAGAGAAACATTGATTGGTTGCCTCCTGCATGCACCCTACCGGGGGTGAGGAACTTGCAACTGAGATATATGCCCTTAACCAGGAATTGAACCCAGGACCCTTTGATCCACAGGCCAACACTCTAACCACTGAGCAAAACCAGCCATGGCTATTCTATTTTTAATGTACTGTGGATTCCAGTTGCTAATATTTTTCCCAGATTGGATTACTAATATTTCTCCAGTGCCAGAATTCTCTCGAACTTCTTATTTTTTGTGACTGTATCTTATTCAACAAAATGTAGAGTTTTTCTTTTATTTCTAATTATTTCCTACATATATTACTTCATTTCCAAATTTGTATAATTCTGATTTATGTTGTTTTATATAGCTTAAATACTAGTATTTTTAGACTTCTTGGTTAAATGCTATGTTAACATTTTGATCTATTTTGTGTGTCACTGTATTCCTAGTATATTTTCATTATCTGTAGAGATATTATTCTGATCCTTATTCTTCATTTTCTAAAAATAACTTTATATGAGACTCAGTCTTAATACCATTTTGTTTTGACTGAATAGGAGCTTCTTTTTCCTGATTAGCTCATAGTGGTTCCGAGTGGCTTTTTTAACACCCAGAGCTCCCTCTTCTGTTGCTTTTGTGAAGTGTTCAAAAGGCACAGAGGAAAGAGAAATTACTCACGTCCTAGAGTCTGTTTCAGTGCCTTTCGGGAAGAACAGGCCCTCACATTCACCTGCTATTGTGAAAGGTTCTTTTCTCTGTGCCTTCTTTGTTTACAAATTACTCACGTCAGAAGACGGAATAGGTATTGATGAGGGAAGCCTGGAGCTCAGGGCTGCTCCTGGTTTATAAATCCACACTGACCCACATACTCCAACCTCCATTGCACTACGGTACAAACAGAAGTGATGCCCCTCTATATTTAACCACATTGAAATCATCGAACCAATAAAACCGGTGCAGCTATCTGTAAAATGATGGCAAATTTCTTCAAGCCTTTGAATCTGGGGTGGTCAGAAAATGAGAAAATTCACATGAATAAATTAATCTTTCTCTACCATGAGCTCCCTGGTCTAAAATATGGATAGATTACCCTAAACTGTTCTGTTTGCATTTATTCTGCTCTCCCTGTATTACTTATTGCTTCTTGAGAGAGAATATTTCCCCATTCCCCCAAACCAAACCAAATCCACTCACCTAAAGCCCTTCTGTGGCTTTCACTGGTCTTAGGAGACAGAAAAACTTGACATGGCCTCACAATCCCTGTGCTAACTGGCTCCCACCTGCCCTCTGGCCTCATCTTACCAGTCTCTGGCTTGAAGGTTAATCACAGTGGCCTTCAGTCCTGTCCTTTGCCCTTATCATGCATTCTCTGACCACAGGGCCTTTGCACAGGCAGGTGAATTCATTTATGTGAATCCTCTAATTTTAGAGGATTCATTTATGTGATGAATTAAAAGATGAATTCATTTATGTGAATCCTCTAATTTTAGCTCCAGTGTCATTACCTCAGGTCAGTCTTCACTGACCTCTCCTACTACATCATGTTCCCATTTTATAGGAATCCACACAACCACAAACCTCTCCTCTACAACATTTGTCACCCTGCATTTGTGCATTTCTTTAATACTCTTTTCTCTAATTCATTGCATGACCTGTGAGAGGGAGGATTACAATCTGCAGCAGTTCATGCTATAGTTCCTTGCACACAGTGGGGTTTGAATTCGGGTTGAAAAATAATGCAAGCTTTTCTGAAGACTGAAAATTAGTACCTTATATCATAATTATTATTATAATTTTATGTTTGTATTAAAATCTTTAAAAAATATATCATGTCCCCCTGATTATACAAGCATGATATAAATTTGTAATTAGATTTTTAAGTTATACTTCTAATGAAAATTAGTTACTACAGTCTAATAAAAGCACAATCAGATATCACCTCACACCTGTCAGAATGGCTATGATCAATAAATCAACAAACTATAAGAGTTGGCAAGGTTTTGAAGAAGGGGGAACCCTTGTATACTGTTGGTATGATGGAAAACAGTATGGAGTTACCTTGAATATTTAAAAAATAGAATTACCATATGACCGAGCAATTCCACTTCTGGGTGTTAATTTAAAAAAATCTAAAACACCACTTAAAAAAGATATACAGCCCCCTATTTCACTGCAGCATTATTTACAACTACCCAAATTTGGAAATAATCCAAGTGATTCTACATATTTAAGTGAATAAGAAGTATTACTCAGCCATGAAACAAATAAAATCTTGCATTCGTGACAATATGGGTGGATTCAAGGTATTATGCTAAGTGAAATAAGTCAGACAGAGAAAGACAAATACCATATAATTCCACTTACATGCAGACTCTAAAAATCAAAATCAAGAAACAAGTGTCTAACCACTATCTTGTACACCTGAAACTGACATACTATAATATTGTATGGCAACTATAATTGAAAAAATAAAATTCAAGAAAAAATGTGAATGACAAAAGAAAACAGAAAGGAGAACTGAAATTGGGAAATTCCTGTGAACTAGAAAGATGCCTTATAAATAGGCCCTTACTCCTGGAGAGGAGGCACTTGCACTGCCAACCCCGAAGCCTTTGCCTTGGACAGCACTGCTCCTCTCGCCATCATGACCAGCAGGTGCCCGCTCCGGCTCACCATCCTGCTGTGCCTCGCCGGCGCCGCCCTGTCCGTGAACTACGGCGTGCTCCGGTTCCAGTTGCAAAGCAGCACCTCGGCCTGCAGGGAGCTCCTGCGGCAGCTGATCAGAAGCCCCCAGTATTGTCTGGCTGACACGAGGGACTTCCAGATCCCCGAGGAGGTGAAACAGCCACGCCAGGTCCAGAAGGAGGAAGCCATGGTGGTCATGCACGAGATGCTCCAGCAAATCTTCAGCCTCTTCTGCAGAAACTTCTCCAGCCCCGGCTGGAATGAGACCGTCATGGAGAACCTTCTGGAGGAGCTCCACTGGCAGATGGACCGCCTGGAGGAAGCCATGCAGCAGGGAGAGTTCCCCTGGGAGAGCAGGACCGTGCACCGCCTGAAGACCTATTACTTAGGCATCATCCGCTACCTGAAGGCCAAGTCCTACAGCAGGTGCGCCTGGACAGTCGTCCAAGTGGCAATCCTCAAGAACTTCTCCTTCCTCAATGGACTCATCGATGCCCTCCGGGACTGACCTCTCTCCACCGGCGCCTCTGGGGACAGTGACCTTGACTGCAAGCATCTTCAGCCGGTTACCCTGGAACCCCTCACAGCCAATGCACTGCCTTTGAAAGGACAGCGGGAGACTTGTACATGTTAAGTTATGTGTTAAGTTATTGTTTTAATTTATTTATTATTTTACCTTGGAAAATAAATCTCTTTTTTTTAAAACAAAGTCAACATGGCAGTTGGTATGTCAACGTGATGTCTAGAACCCCCACGTTAAAAACGACAGGGCACCTGTGAGCTGTGCTCTCTGAAATGTGCCTGCAGATAGGGCTGGCTCGCATCTCCAGGGAATTCAAAGGAAGCCACAAGGTAAGAGACAGGGAGGGGGCCGGTATCGTAGGTGGGAACAAACCTGGCTTGAGCCTCTATAGGATGTAAAGGGGAGAGGCAGGCAGGTGGAACTAACCCGGGGTGCCTGCTGCTCCCCTGCAACCCAGCTCTGGCCCTAATGTTAGAATTCGGCTGGCTCTCGGGTTAACCATAGGAATGTCTCAGCCCAGTGTTCACTCTACACTCATCCCTGTTATCCGGGATGCCCTGCTCCCCACCCCAGCCCCGCAGGGTTTAAACGTCTCTGTGTGCCTCCCACCAAGCCCGCAGACGAGAAGTCCCAGGCACTTCTCCACCACCACTGAGCAGCGGTTTCTTACTCTGCCCGGACAGCCTGTGGGTTTCTTAAGGGAGCTGTGGTCTCTGCCTGTTTCCCAGGCACAGAACCACAGAGAGGAAAACCTCTGCTTTATATCCCAGCCATCTGGCGAGGTCCCCCCACCCCCTTTTTATAAAAAGAGAAGCAAGTCGGTTCCTGGTCTCCCCTGAGCTGCTTATACAGAATTTCAGGAAAACCCTACGATTTTCCTGCTGTTCTGCATCTCTGGATGCACAGACTCCCCGGAGCCAGTCCGAGGCGGGGGGGCCTGTTTTAGGACAAGTGAAACCCAGGGTGCCTGGACGAAAGGGAACTCGGATGGGGGTGGAGAGGGAGGGCACAGGCTTTCCCAGGGCCCACACCGGGAACACCGTTTTCCCAAGGGCTCTCTGGCACAGGGCCAGCGTGCCTGGGCTCCTGGTTTGTGCTGAACCTCGTGGGTTCCTGGACTATTTGTTCCTGCTAGGAGCAGCTGGCATCCGGGCGGTGTGCTGAGCTCTCTGCGTGCTGCGGGGTTGAGTCCTCTTCACAGGCACCCCTCAGGCAGCACCGTTGCATGATGGCTATTGACACCTCGGGGAACTAAGCTCAGGGAGGTTTAGTAACCGCCCAAGGTGGCCTAGCGAGGAAGTGGAGGTGTGAAAAGATTCCAAGGGAAGAATCACACGGGACTGTGTGTGAACCTAGGCATGCTCTCCTGGAGCAGATAGAAGTCTGAGTCCCCTTTAGGAGAGGCTGTGGGACTATCAGTCGCAGTTGCGAAGTCGCTAAGCCCTTCTGACTTCAGGTGGTAACACGCTGGCTGTGGAAGCCCAAAGCACCATCCTGGTGGGTCTGCTGCTTTAATCCCAAGCCAGCCAATGTCCCTTTACCTCCCCCCCGCCCCCCCCCCGCAACCCCCCAGCTCCTCACTCTTTATGATCTCACACCCTGCTCCCTTTTGCTTGGTAATCAAAGACTTCGTTAGCATCCTTGTGGAAATGCAAGGGAACAGGCAGAGGCTAGAACAAGAGGACGCCAACGAAGTCTCTCTGCAATGAGCTGCTATGCCCACCGCCTTCTCTGGGCCAAGCCGCTGAACTGGCCCAGAAACCGAGAGGCTGGGGCAGCCCTGCAAAGGCCTGCTCTGCCTGTGTGAGGGGCCCAGGTGGACACAGGAGAGACTCTGCGGAATTACGGATAATTGTGCCACAGCTGAGCATGTCGACCCATCAGGAATACCAGAAGTGAGCTCTCTTCACCCATAGGGGATAGGTGTATGTGTAAAAGGGGGTGGGGGGACCTCGCCAGATGGCTGGGATATAAAGCAGAGGTTTTTCTCTCTTATGCACATGCTAAGCGGAGAGCTGCATATGAAGGTGTGATGGATGAATCTATTCTGGAACCAGCATACCTGGCAAGGAGAGCACTCCTTGCTTAGAAAAACATCGAATGTTGTAGGTGTAGCAACACAAAAAACAGCACAACACCAATGGCTTGTTTTTGTGTGTCTGTTTCTGAGGAGGAAAAAGAGTGAGAAACTCAGCAAATGGTCTGGAGTGGAATGCTCCATGGGAAAGTACAGCAGCCACCCTGGTTGAGTTTTCTACGTGACACACCTGAGGTCTACCCAGCAGAGAAGGCAGGGCCCCTCGCTGGGAGACAGACAGATAGACAGACAGCAGTAGGCAGTGGAATTGGAAGGTGAATGGCACCCAGAGTCAGACCTTGGCCATTGCAGGCATTTTCTCTAAATTTGTTCTACCAGTGCTTATTGGGCCTAAAAATCTATTTTATCAATTTCTTTTGTTTTCAATGTAAACTGTTACTTTGAAGCATCAGTTTATTTGTCTAAAGCCTCCTAGAACGTGGTTTTAACTTGAATTTTAAAAATAGCTTAAAAATATCAAACTCTGTGATTGGACTAGAACTGTCAACACAGAAGCATATTCTCCTCTACTCTCTTCAATTTGATTGGGACCAAGATAATAACTTAATTGGTTAATTGCCTTGATGGGGAGCAACTAGTTACCACCAAATCAACAAATTCTGCTTCTGTTGGCATTCTGTTTCACAATTCCTGCTTTGCTTTATAATTCCCTGAGTAGGGTAGATGTAGGAAACCCAAAATGCATTACTTGAACTATATCCCCAACAATCAACTTAGGAATAAGAAAAAATGGAGCTCACTTCAGAAGACCCTCTTAGAAAATGAAAAGACATGTCACAGACTGGGAGAATATATTTGCCAGGCACATATCTCACAAAGGATTTATGTCAATGCATAAAGAACCCTCAAATCTCAATAATGACAAAACAACCCAATGGAAGGTGGACAAAGATCTGAACACATCAATTAAGATACACAGATGGCTAACAGAATAGAAGATGATCACCATCATTAGTTAATAAGGAAATCCAAGTTAAAACCAGAGCGAGGTACCACTATATGCATAGTGGGATGGCTAAAATTAGAAAGACTGACCATATCAAGCACTGGCAAGGATGTGAAGAAACTGAAACTTTGATACAGTTGGAAATAAAACATGCTACACCCACTTTGGAAAACTCTTTTGCAATTTCTTAAAAAGATAAACTACACCTCCTATATGACCCAGCCATTCCACTTGGTTATTTACCCAGAGAGAGAAAAAATAAAGCAGGTTTTCATGCACAAACTTGTATGTGAATCTTTATAGAAGCTTTATTTGTAATATCCCCAAGTTGGAAACAACTCAAATGTCCATCACAGAATGATTAAAGAAGTTGTTGTACACTTATGTAATGACAGATCATTCAGTAATAAAAAGAAATGAATCCCCAATACACACAATGGCATGGATGAGTCTCAAAATAATTATGCTGAATATAAGCAGACAGATTAAAAAAAGAGTACATTCTGTATTGTCCAATTTATATAAAATTCTAGAAGGAAAGACTAGACTATAATGACAGAAAGCAGATCAGTGGTTACCTGGGGTTAGGGACAGTGGTAGTGAGGAATGAGTTGGAGGACACAAGGCCACTTTTGACAGAATATGGATATGTTCACTATCTTGATTGTGCTGATGGTTTTAGAGGTGTACACATATGTCAAAACTTACAAAGTGTTAACTTTAAGTATGTACAGTTTACTGTATGCCAATTATACTTCATTAACCCCCCCTCTCTCTACCTATATATAAAATGAAATCAAAGTATTTTAGGTTCAGAGTCAACATATATTTTTTGAGGTCCTAAGATATTTTAAAATAAAATTTCAAGATTAAACTAAATCACCTTTAGAAAGAAAAAAAACTTATCTTATGGTTGAAGTTCATCATTGTCAGCAGTTAGATTGTTAGAGGTTTTCATCACATTTGCAATAGTTTTTCATTTTGTAAAAGGTTGCCCAAAAAATTGATCAATATTGTCACGTGCAAAAACTATGAAAAATGCATTTGGTACCAGCTGCATTGCAAATGGTAGAATCAAAGCCCAGTGCAGCAGGAAACTACTTTTTATTTTTTATATTGTAGTATAAAATATATGTAACAGCAAGTTCAACATTTTAACCATTTTTTAAAATATATTTTACTGATTTTTTACAGAGAGGAGGAGAGAGGGATAGAGAGCTAGAAACGTCGATGAGAGAGAAACATCAACCAGCTGCCTCCTGCACACCCCCTACCGGGGATGTGCCCGCAACCAATGTACATGCCCTTGACCGGAATCAAACCCGGGACCCCCCAGTCCGCAGGCCGACGCTCTACCACTGAGCCAAACCAGTTTTGGCCATTTTAACCACTTTTAAGTGCACAGTTGTGTGGCATTAAGTACATTGCATATTTGTCCAACCATCACTGCCATCCATCTCCAGAACTTTTTATCTTTCCTAACTGAGGTTTCGCACACATTTCCCCCTCCCTCCAGCCCCTGGAAACCACCACTCTACTTTCTGTCTCTGTGTATTTAGCCCCTCTATGTACTCACATAAGTGGGATCAGGCAGTATTTGTCCCTTTGTGACTGGCTTATTTCACTTGCCATATTTTCATCAAGTGTCATCCATGTTGTAGCATGTGTAAAAATGTCCTCCTTTTTTCTTAGGCTGAATAATATCCCGTTGTATAGGTATATTACAGTTATCCATTGATGGACATTTGAATCGCTTCCATATTTTGGCTATTGTAAATAATGCTGCTATGGATATATAATAGGTGTAAGAATACTGGTTTGAGTTCCAGATCTCACTTCTTTTAGGTCTACATCCAGAAGTGAAATGTCAGGGTCCTATGGTAATTCTACATTAAAATTTTGAGGGATCATTAAGGCACCTATGTTAAGCCGTGTCTTCATAATGCAAATATTTGTGATCAGAGCATAATGCGAACACAACAGCTACCGGTACATTTCTTAAGGACATACATTCTGCAAGGGACTCTGCTAAGTGTGTTAGAATTATACTAGAGGCCCAATGCATGAAATTTAGCACCCATGGTGCCCGGCTTCATTCAGAAGGTCGTTCAGAAGGTCATCTGGACGGTTGTTCTGCTGTTCGGCCGCAAGGTCTAATTCGCATATTACACTTTTATTATTATAGATATCATGTTACTTAATCTTCCTGAGGACCCTGGGGATTAAAGTATTACTATCTCCTTTCTATACACAATAAAAACAGGCTCAGTAAAGTTAAGTATACTTCCATTGCCAAGTCTGCAGTTGGTGAAGAACAGAGGCCACACGCTCAGCTACCTGTTGGCACTGGCCAGCTCCCAAGGGTTAACCTTCCTCCACCTGCAAGGCTCAGCGCTGTGACTGAGAGGGAGCAGGAGGCTCCTCCTAAGGAGGGGCTCTCACCCAGCACTCCGTTTCCCTTCCACCCCCATCGGAAAAGGACTGCTCCCCGTTCTCTGTGGAGAGAGTAGGAAATTCCCCTCTGCTCTCTTGCCAGACTCCACAGAGAGTGTTTTCTCTCGAGGGTTTTAGAGGCGACTGCCTGGACCATGACTCACCGTTCTCCCTGGCCAGGCTGCATTTCCTCCTCCCGCCGCTGCGCTCTCATCCGGCTCTTATCCCCGCCAGGTCTGCGTGCGGTTTCCCTTTCGGCGCGGCCCGTTGCTTTCGTTCTCTCCAAGGAATGTTTCGGAACCAAACGGCCTGCATTTTAAAATAATTAACACAAACAATGTTTTATCTTCCCCATCGCTTTTAAATTTCTTGGCTCCATTTCTTCCCCCCCCCCCCCTTTTTTTTGGTACAAACCCAGAGGTAAAGCAAATAGTTTTCAGAGCCAAAAGTGACTTACTAATCTAAAATACACGAGTTAGAAATCTGTGAATTTAAAGGTCCAAATATTAAAATTTACTATTTTTCTTAAAAAAAAAAAAAAAGACACGGAGTTTTACAAACCCAAAAGCTAATGTGGGTTCTGCCATTTTTTAAGTATGTGATCTTAGGCAAGCAATATAAACTAAAGATAATCATACTCAAATTCTTGAAGAATAAATGGACTATATGATGTGGTCCAGCCCAGGACCTTGCCTGTGGTGATGCCCAGTACTTAGTTTAGTTTAAAGTGAAGAAACATTTTAGAAATTTCTCACACAAAATTAGGTGGGCTTCTGGGACACCCTTTCCAAAATCTCATACAAAAAGCAAATGTTACAAAGAAGGGCCCGGCAATTCTGAAGAAATACAAAATGCTAATTTGAAAAGACATGTGCACCCATCTATTCACTGAAGAGCTATTTACAACTAGAGGCCCAGTGCACAAAAATCAGTGCACAGGTAGGGTGCCTAGGCCTGGCCTGCAACCAGGGCCCATCTGTGGGGCGACTGGCGGGGCGATTGGGGTCCCTGCTCGCACCCACCTTGGCCAGGCACCACCCACTCACCTGCTCCACCATCCCCCCATGATCCCACTCTCATCAGACCCGCCGTGTTCCATGCCGCTCCTGGTGGTCAGTGCATGTTGAACTCCAACCTGTGGGGACAATTTTCATTCCAGCCTTTCATTATAGAGGATAGTCTGTGGCTCTCCTGTGATGCATCTGAACTGTGCTCTGCTCTTTCCGTGTTTCACTGGGCTTCTGCTGCTGCTGTGGGCGTGGACACCTGACCGGGGCTGGGCTGCTGAGAGCACTGGCATCTCAGGCCACAGTGACTGCTCCGAGGAGATTAGTGACTCACACAGAGGCCATGAGCACAACAGGCAGAACCTGGGCTGGAATGCCGGGGGGTGGGGGAACGGTTCTGTCTGTGGTGCAGGTTCTGTCCAGGGTGAGCCTGGAGCCAGGGCAGCCGGAGCCGGCCACACAGCTTATGTTCTGAACCCGGTAAAAGGTGCCTGATATGCTCCACATGGGAAGAAATGTTTAAAAATAAAGCCAACTCAAAGGACAGCAGAGAGGAAAGGCAGACAAACACACATTCTTGCCCTGGCCAGTGTGACTCATTTGGTAGGAGTGCTGCCCCATAAACTGGAAGGATGCAGGTTCGATTCCCGGTCAGGGCATGTACGCAGGTTGTGGATTTGATCCCCAGGGCATGTGCAATGGCTCTCTCTCTGTGTAAGTGTGTGTGTGTCTCTTTATCTCCTTCCCTCTATCTCCCTTTCTCTTTTTCTAAAATCAATAAACATATCCTCAGGTGAGAATTAAAAAACAAAAGACACATTCTTAAAAATGTTGTTTCAGCCATGACTGAAGCCAGGTGAACCCCTAAGATGTTTGTTTTCTGAGCCATGAAATAGTGCTAGAGGGGACTGGAAAATCAACAAAAACCTCACTCACCTTTTGAAGCAACCCATCTGTACTTCCTTCTTAAATTTTGTGAAGCGTGCTCCAGTTAGGGCTGCCCATCCTTTAAAAGCATGTGTGCGTGTGCGTGTGCGTGTGCGTGTGTGCATGTGTGTGTGTGTGTGTGTGTGTGTGTGTGTAGGTATATGAGTGTGTGTGTGTGTTTGTAACTGGCTTTCTGTGTAACATGATGTTTATGTACTAGTCAAAGACAGCGATTTATAAAGCTGCCTACAAGCTCACCACTGGATGCTTTAGATTGGGGTTTAGTTAAACCTTTACAGGAAGATAACATGGCTTCAGAGTTCAGCTGCCCTTTCATTGCTATTTAAGAGCTATGTCTTCCCAGAGGCACCTTGTTTTGTTTTGTCCTTCAATGTAATTGAACAAACATTTCCCAAATGCCCAATGCACACCAGACACTGCTCAGCGCTGGGTTTCTGCAGACAAACACAATCCAGACATTATCCTCAAAGACCCATTTTCAAGGGAAGGAAACGGATAAGTCTATGACTGAAAATGATAGCATGACGGTGAATGTTATTCTAACATAACGAACAGTTTCCTAGAGAAGCCTAGATTTGCTCTCTGACAGGATTTGAGCAGCCATCACAATGAAGATATCTGAGCTTGGGTTTGACGCCATAGTAGCATTTTTTAAAAAATTTTTTAAAAATATATTTTATTGTTTTTTCACAGAGAGGAAGAGCGAGATAGAGAGTTAGAAACATCGATAAGAGAGAATCATTGATCAGCTGCCTCTTGCACACCCCCTACCGGGGATGTGCCTGCAACCAAGGCACATGCCCTTGACCGGAATCGAACCCGGGACCCCTCAGTCCGCAGGCCGACGCTCTATCCACTGAGCCAAACCGGTCCCGGCCATAGTAGCATTTTTTTAAATGAAAAGAATGGGATTGAGGTCATTTTAAAAGAATGAGCTATTTTTTTTTCGTACAGATTGTTTATTCAAATTAAGATTAAATCAAGGTTCACTCATTACATTTGGTTGTTGTGCTTTTTAAGTCAAGAGGGACCTATTTTTTTTAAAATTAATTTTATTATTTATATTTATCTTTTTGTGAATCTTCACCTGAGGATATTTTTCCATTGATTTTTAGGGAGAGTGGGAGAGAGGGGAAGACAGAGAGAAACATCAATGTGAGAGGGACACATCAATTGGTTGCCTCCTGCACGAGCCTGGACCTGGGCCCAGCCAGGGAGAAGCCTGCAACCGAGGTATATGCCTTCGATCAGATTCGAACCCAGGACCCTTTGGTCCTCAGGCCGATGCTCTATCCACTGAGCCAAACCGGCTAGGGCAGAATGAGAAATCTTAAACAACAGAACCTCTCCTCAGCTCACAAGAAGGCTAACGAGGGGCCTCTAAGCCAGAAGCCATGCACATGTGGTTAGGCGCAGAAGATCACTTGAAGAGATTAGCATTCTCTGCTTACATGCAGCGTGTAAATGAATTTATGTACAGTTCCTGTCTGATTGCACTTCAACTGCTTTTCCTGGGAGCACCTCAAAGGCTTTCCCATTCATTGGGAGGTATTGCCAATCCTTCAGCAACCTGGGTGGGGTGTGCCCTGCTCTCTGGCTCATTCAGCAAAGCTATGACAGTTCTTCTCCATGTCCCCTCTCTCACCAGCAGATGACAGTCTCCTAACCCTGGTGAAATCCAGACTTTGGCAGCAGGGTGTATTGGTTTGTTAGGGCTGCCGTGACAAAGCACCCCAAACTGGGTGGCTAAGGCAATAGACACGTAGTACCTTACACTCTGAAGGCCAGGAGTCCAAGACCAAGTTGTCACCAGTGTTAGTTCCTTCTGAGAGCTGTGAGGCAGACTCTGTCCCAGGCCTCTCTCCTGGTTCTGGGTGGTTTGCAGGGATCTTTAGCTTCTGCTGCATCACCCTGATCTCTGCCTTTATCTACACAAGGCAACCTTCCTGTGTCCATGTCTCTGTAAAAATTTCCACTTTTTATAAGGACGCCAGTCATATTGGTTAGGGGGTCTACCCTACTCAGAATGACTCCATTCTAACTTAACTAATTACATCTACAACAACCCCATTTTCCAATAGGGTCACATCTGAGGTGCTGTGGGTTAGAACTTCAATAGATCAATTTGATGGGTGTGTGGGGGGACAGGGCACAATTCAACAGACAACATAGGGGAAGATGAAGTGCCCCCTTCTCTCCTCTCCGCTACTTTATGCGGAATGGGAGGAGACTTATCAACTCTTCTGTGGGGGTTTGCCTTGAAAGGGCCCCCCTCCCTACGTGAGGCTCCACCAGCTGCAGCAGACAGAGGCACAGACCATTCCAACTGTCCCTCACACACTGCGATGAAGCCTAAATGAAAACCAGTCAACGGCATGCCATAGAAATCCTCAAAGGCTATTGAAATCATTCTTTCCACTTTATTTGCTATAAACTTTATAAATAGTTTTCAGGACAAGAATATATCTGTTGAATTGGCTTTAGAACAACTGGTCCCTGTTGGGCATGTGTGGACCTTAGCATCTATGGAGGAAGGGGAGCCTCAGAAAGGGTGGGGACAACATTTCATATTAGCTCCCTCCCCTCCGGGCTGCAACTTGAGCTCTCCTAAAACCCAGCATAGCTGAATCCCATGGGCTAACTTCCTCTCATACACCCATCCCTGATAGAATAAATGTGGTCTGCCTGAGAGATTCATTGCCTTCCTATTTACTTAACTTTTTTCCCCTTCTTATTCTTTATGGCCCAATGGCAGTGGATTTACTAAGTCAAGAGTGTGTAGCCACTCTGAGCTACATATTCATAGTTTCTATGCTCATCAAAAAAGTAAGTTCCATTTTCAAATTGCTTCATTCTAAACCATTGGTTTTACCCCAGGCTCCATGGACTTGGGAAAGTCTGTGCAAAGGGACTGTGGCAGACAATCCCATTCTGTATCCACCACCTGTGGAGGAGTTGTTGAGCACATGCCTGCATACAGTAAGAGCTCAATAAATGGTGGCTTTTTTTTCTCTTTATGGACAATTGCTATCTATTACTCTCTTGCTGAAATATAGGAGCCTCAGAATTTCATAAAATCTGCATAAAATCTTAGCTCAAACAACAATTCTCTTCTATGTAGTTAAAAGGAACAGCATGGTTATATAGTCGGCTTGCCAATAAGGCAGAACTTAGCAGGAAGCCCATCATTATCTCAAATGTATTTTCTATTAATAAAAATTAGACTGGACTTGTATCTTGTCTTATGCTGAGTCCATGGTCAACCAAGTTTCTGTCTCTCATTGTACAATTTCACAGACCAGCCTCCCACTGGAAATCTCCTTAGTTTGGTTCCTCATAATGGACTCTCACTTCCCACTCACTGGGAGCCCAGGCATGAAAACGCCAAAATGAAAAAGATGACAGGAACAACTTTCAGATGTCTTGTCATAGGGGACTGTTTCTAGTCCCTTGTGAGCCTTCTCCCACTACCCCTCCTTCCACTCCCTTTTTAAATCTAGCTTTCCTCTTTGATCCTCACTTGAGAATGGAGAAACACGGGCAACCCACAAACTGAGTCACTGGGAACACTCAGTGGGGGCCAAAGTTTCTGAGTAAGGATGACAGACTGCCTAGCTATGATATTATGCAAGGAGACATCCTCTCACTCATCAGTAATACGTTTTCAACCAACAAGTGTAAGAACTTTCCTGAATATAAACACACACACACACACACACACACACACACACACAAAGAACTTTCCTGATTGTTTTTCTTTTGACTCGTTGGAAGTGATAAATGGTGATAATTCAAATAGAAAACAGTAGTGGAGGGAAGGAGTGGGAGAACAATTTACAATTCTGCTTTGTTGGCCTTCATGAACTGCTGTCATTGGTCAACTTGGAGGAGACTGCCCCTGCGGACCCATTGTCTGACTCTACCTTGTGAGAGTAAGTCTGTGATACTAAGTGCTCACCTACCTGGTTGTGTGTGAAACACAGTTCGCCTCCAGAAGAACATGCCCCATTGGTAACCTTGCCCACCATTATCCAACCAAAAATAGGAGGAAATATATTTTCATCGACTTTTCTCCAGGTTTGACCATGCAGTAATAAGGTTTGCATGAGCTCAAAAAAACAAAACAAAACAAACAAAACAACAACAATAATCCTCAACTAGTTCTTTTATTTCCCTCTTGATTAAGACTACTAATCTAATGCCTTCTGTGTGTATCATATATTCCTCAATATAGCATTTTATTTAAAAAAATCTTTTTAAAAGTATATTTTATTGATTTTTTTACAGAGAGGAAGGGAGGATAGAGAG